TATATATATATATATATATATATATATATATATATATATATATATATATATATATCACATATATGGAATATTACTCAGCCTTCAAACACATGTATATGTGTTTGTAATGTAATGTGTTTGTAATACATACGTATATGTATATGTAATGAAATATTACTCAGCCATCAAAAGAATGAAATCTTGCCATTTGTAACCACGTGGATGGAACTAGAGAGGTTTATGCTGAGAGTGGAATAAGTCAGTCAGAGAAAGACAATTTCTCTGAAGTCCATATGACTTCACTCATATGTGGAATTTAAGAAGCAAAACAGATGAACATGGGGTAAAGTAAGCAAAAATAAAATAAGACAAAAATAGAGAGGGAGGCAAACCATAAGAGACTCAACTATAGGAAACAAACTGAGGGTTACTGGAGAGGAGGTGGGTGGGGGGATTGGTTAACTGGGTGATGGGCATTAAGGAGGGCACTTGAATTAATGAGCACTGGGTGTTGTATGCAACTAATGAATTGCTGAATTCTACCTCTGAAAATAATAATACACTATATCTTAATTAAGTTGAATTAAAATGGAGTATAATTCTACCTTCATTTAAGATATTGTAGATAAGGTACAGTGTCTGTGTGGCTTTGTAGTTGTATTTCTAGGATTTCTATGATGCTTAACAAGTGGTTTTATAGATGTCTAGGATACTTTGGTAGATGGTTTATGCAGCTTTTCTGATTAGTCTTCTCCATGACCATCCTTTCCCCCTACCCTCAGGAAATTCCTACCTAGGATTCTCCCTACTCCATGAACTTCTTTTCTAAACCCCATCACTTTCTACTAGACTTAAGTCTTCTGAGCCATCAGTAAAACCTAGAAGGGGAAAGAAGCAGGGCTGCTATACTACCCTAGAATGAATGAAATTCTCTACTATTTGCTCCATAGCAGATAATGCTTCACAAGGCTTGTGGAAGATGTCTTCTTGCCTGGACTTTAGCCCACAAACTGACTTCCTTTCTCAGACACCTTCAGCTGCATCTGCCTTGCCACTAGGACCCTCTTCAATCAGAGCTCATCTTAAACTCACCTTCCATTCACCCTTCTACAAGTTTCAAGTCTATATCTTTCTTCCTTTAGAGATCCTGGCTTTTTACCTTGTAGCAAAACTTTATCCCCAGTTTAATACCCATAGGAATCCATGTAAGAATTCAGGACACAAATAATTTTCCCCAAGCTAAGCACATTGTTAATGTTTTACAAATAAAAAGAATAATCTATGTCTATAACCAAAGTACTTGAATTGAAATAGTTATCTGATACACGTTTTCTGCCTCTAAGAAAGATAAAATATGAATGAAAGCAAGAAAATGCCTTACTATTTTTTTTTGTGGATTTCCGAACAAAGGAGGCTTTAAAAGATGTTTTGTCATATCTGACATGAGCAAACAAAACTTTTCCTTAATGCTTATTATTTGGATATTTTGCTACAATTCTGCCCTGCTTTCCAATCATTCTCTGCTTGTTCTCTGCTACCTGAGATGTTGTAAACTTTTCTGAAACATGTTTTTTAGAGCTGTTTTTACTTCCTTGTTCTTTAGGCTGTAGAAAAGGGGATTCACTAGGGGAGTGACCACACTGTACTGCATGGAAAAAACCAACTCCCATGGGGAGCCTGAGGTCGGCATAAGATAGCGAAGAAAACCTGAGCCATAAAGTAAGCTTACTGTGGTGAGGTGGGAGGAGCAGGTGGAGAAGGCCTTACTTCTGCCTGAGGTAGAGCTGATGCTCAGAATGGTGGCAACAATACGTGTGTAAGAGAAGAAGACCAGAAGGAAGGTCCCAAAGGCATGCAGGAGGCAGAGAAGAGCAGGACTGCAAAGTTAACAGAGCTATTGGAACAGGAGAGAGGGAACAGAGATGGAATCTCACAAATGAAGTTGTAGATGACTTGAGTCTCACAGAAGTCCAAATTCCAAGCTAGGAGGGTATTGATGAGAGCATCCAAAAAGGCCAGACCCCAGGATCCCCATACCAGTCCCACACACAGCTCATTGCTCATTATCTGACCATAGAGTAGAGGGTAGCAAATGGCAGCATAGAGGTCATACGCCATCACTGCAAGGAGGCAGAGCTCTGTTCCCCGAGAGGCAAGCACAAAGAAAACTTGGGTCAAACAGTCCTCCACTGAGATGGTTTTCTTCTCAGACAGGAGGTTCTCTAGCATCCTGGGCACAGTGACTGAAGAATAACAGAGATCCAGGAAGGAGAGGTGATTCAAGAAGAAGTACATGGGCGTGTGAAGGTGAGAATTGGCCCTGAAAACCAAGATCATCAACAGGTTCCCTGACAGAGTCAGGAGGTAAATTACTAGGAAAAGCACAAAGACTAGGGCCTGGGTTTGATGATCAGCAGGCAGTCCAAGAAGGAGGAACTCAGTGATGGTGCTGTGATTTCCCAAGGCCATTTAAAGATGATAATACTTTGGAAGAAAACAGAAAGAGAAACAATGTATCAACCACCTCCTCTGGCAACCCCAAATTTCTACTTATTTCTATGTATATACACTTTTTCCCCCCATCTCTCATTGTTGCTACCGTTGTTTAATATATCTCATGGAGTCCCTTGAAGCATACCCTTCCCTCTTCTGTCAGCTGTATAAGCCCTGAACCTTCTATGCTCTTTCAATTTGTTGCTCTTTTCTTATCAACTGCTCTAGAGAAATTTATGTAATTTTTCAGATCTGACCATTGAACAATTTTTATCCCTTCAAACTAGGCCACTGATTTTTTTCTATAACATTCTGGTCAAGAATTCATTTCTGCAGGGGCGCCTGGGTGGCTCAGTGGGTTAAGCCACTGCCTTCGGCTCAGGTCATGATCTCAGGGTCCTGGGATCAAGCCCCGCATCGGGCTCTCTGCTCAGCAGGGAGCCTGCTTCCTCCTCTATCTTTGCCTGCTTCTCTGCCTACTTGTGATCTCTCTCTGTCAAATAAATAAATAAAATCTTTAAAAAAAAAAAGGAATTCATTTCTGCAGAAGATACTATAATCCTTCCGGTTCTCCTCAGTCTGTCTTTCACTTTCCATTAAAGACTTTGTAAGAGTTCATTATGAATTATTTATGTACATTGTCTTATTGTTTTCCTCTTTATTATCTTCCATAAATTTGGAAAATGTGATCTTAGATATCTCTAAGATATTTTGAAAGTTGTGTGTGTGTGTGTGAGAGTGTGTGTGATGCAGAGCAGATGTAAGGGAGGAAACTATGAAATATTTTTAAAGTTAAAAAAGTAGAGCTAAGAAATAATAAAGGTAAAACAAAACTAAGTTTTTCATCAAAAGAAACCATTAAAAAAAGAAAGGTCATAGCCACATCAATCAGACAACAAAAAGAAATAAAAGGCATCCAAATCTGCAGGGAAGAAGTAAAACTTTGACTATTTCCAGATTATATGATACTCTGTATAGAAAATCCTAAAGACTCCACCAAAAACCTGCTAGAACTGATAAATTCAGTAAAGTCACACAATACAAAATCAAAGTACAGCAATCTTTTGCATTTCTATAAACCAATAATTAAGCAGCAGAAAAGAGAAATTAAGAAAACAATCGCAATTAAAATTGCACCCAAAATAATAAGATACCTAAGAATAAACTTAACCAAAGAGATAAAAGACTTATACTCCAAAAACTATAAAACACAGATGAAATAAATTAAAGACAACCCAAAGTAATGGAAAGACAAAACATGTTTTTAAAATACTACCCAAAGCAATTTGCAGATTTAATGCAATATCCATCAAAATACCAACAGCATTTTTCATAGAACTAGAACAAAGAATCCTAAAATTCTTATGAAACCACTTAAGAGCCAAAGCAATCTTGAAAAAGATTGAAAAAGGCAAAACTGGAGGCCTCAGAATTCCAAACTTTAAGTTATATTACAAAGCTGTGGTAATCAAATCAGTATGGTACTGACACAGAACCCAGACATAAGCTCACAATTATATGGTCAATTATCTTCAACAAGGAAAATAATATTCAATGGAAAAGAGACAGTCTCTTCAACAAATGGTGTTGGAATAACTGGTGAGCTACAGGCAAAAGAATGGAACTGGACCACTTTCTTACACTATACACAAAATAGATTCAAAATGTCATGACAGACCTAAATGTGAGACAGGAAACCATAGAAATCCTGGAAGAGAGCACAGGCAGTAATTTCTCTGACATTGGTCACAGTAAATTTTTTCTAGATAGATTCCCTAAGGCAAGGGAAATAAAAGCAAAAATAAACTATTGGGACTACATCAAGATAAAAATCTGCACAGCAAAGGAAGCAATCAACAAAACTAAAAGGCAACCTATGGAATAGGAGAAGATATTTTCAAATGACAGATCAGATAAAGGATTAGTATCTAAAATATTTAGTAATAGGTGTTTTTCTTTTCTTCTTCAGTTAAACTAATGTTCCTTGAGGATAGGGATTGAGCTCAATGTTACTTTGGATACTCTGAACACACACTGCATTGTGAGGCACAAGATAAGTCCTTAATCAAGATTTATGAAACACAAAAAGACTGGAAAGGATGAGGCAAGTAAAACAGACTTTGTAGGCCTCTCCTTAAGGAATAGCCCCAACTTGAATTTCATTTTTAAAAACAGGACAAACATGAAGGAAGCTGGGAAAGAAAATAAATTCAGGAGAATATGGAGCTCTTTTTGTCTCTATAAAGGGTTAGATAAAGACTTATCTGATAACTCAGCAGTGCCTACAGATCCCTGATCCACAGGGAGAAGATCACACAAACTAGCTCATTTTAGTTCACATCAGGAAGGTTGCTTAAAATCATAATGTTCATTCATTTATTCACTCATTCAACCTTATACCTGCTACCTAATTATCCATCTAATTTTTCATTTATTACCTCCATCATCCAGGCTACCATTCAGCCCAGTCATCTATTCATCTATCTGTCTATCCACCCATATTTCCATTTATCCATTCATTCATTCATTCACTCACTCATTCATTCATTCATGTAAGCAACAGATATTTATAGATTGTATTATATAGAGTGTTGTGTTTAAGATAGGTTGATTTTGGCAGCCTGGCATAAACCTCTGATGAGTTATTACATGCATGCACTTATTTGTCTTATTTCTAATAGCACTCTCCCAGTATCCAGGGCTGAATTCCCTTGCTAGCCTTTTTCTTCATATCAAACTTGAAATCTGATGCATCATTATAACTCAAAACTTTGCTCCTTCATGAACCCTCTTGCCTAGAATGATGACTTCTTACCACAGTCCTAACTTACCCATTGAAACTGAATCAACTGTGAATCCTTTGGCTCTAACCTGATATGAAAGTGTCTGATGTTGGTATTGCCCATAGGACTCAAAATAACAAGTTCTGTTTCTGCTGGGATAGCCCATGAATTAGTTCTTGCTTTTCCTGGCTTTCCTCACTCATGCAGTTTAGTACTTAGGTATCTGCCCATATTCCATGCCCTTCTAAGAGAAAAGATACAGGTTACCTTTCAGTTATTTCCAGTGGTGAGTAATGTGTGGTTAGGGTGGTAGACCAAATTAATTCAGACTCTGCAGTGAAGAAGAAAAATCAAATGGAAAAGTTCATAAGGTGTCTTTCTTATTTCTGTGCTTGTAGAATCCTGCTGAATAAACATTCTCCCTGACTTCCACATTAGTGAATTAAATCTATTCAATTCAATTGAAAAATTTCTAAGCACTTTCTATTTGCTGCCTAACTTTGAGACGGTAATTGCTTCCATTGTACCACATTTACATGCAGCATAGATCAAGACCACAGAACCTATCAGCAAGGTAGGTAGAACAACATACTGAGAGATTCCAGATTTTCTCATCCCTGTCCCCAAGATCCTTTGGTGACAAAGTGAGGACAAGGTTTATTTTAACTGCATAGTAGAAAGATAAACACAAATCCAAATTCTGCTCACTTACCTTTGAAGAGGGAACATAGTGGATTCAATTCACACTGAAGTCTGAATGACCATTTTTGAAATTCAAAAAAAAAGGGAGCAAAGACTGATTTCTTTGCTTATATAGAGAGAAGTGATAGGTCCAATTGGAGCCCAGGGATTTCCTCTTAAAATACTTGTTTTACAAATTTGCCAGGGATAGCTTAAGCACTTTTCAGATGACCACTTATTGGTATCTTGTCTATACTTTTTCACATTCTTTTTTTTAAAATTTAATTTAATTTTTTCAATGTTCCAAGATCCATTGTTTATGCACCACACCCAGTGCTCCATGCAATACCTGCCCTCCTTAATACCCACCACTAGGCTCACCTAACTCCCTACCTTCTTCCCTCCAAAAGAGAAGTGGGGCAGGAGGTTGATTTTATTGAGTCATTTTAAGAAAAATATTCATTCATTTTAAGAAAAAAATTGGGCGATTTATGGCTGTAATTTCACTACTGGAAACTCACATTCCTTATAATAATTTGTGCCTAAATTTAAAATTCAATCAGCTCTGGGAGACATAGCACATTATTTTATTTACAAATTATTAAATTCTTTGGGTCTAATAATTTTATCCTATTATTTCCAAAGATAGAGGTAGCTGAGGACAGCTCCACATCTAACACTTCATTTGCACAGTGGAATTACACAGAAAATGTTCATAATTGGAAGAAATGTCTGAGAAGAGAGAGTAATGAGGATAGAAAGAAAAACAGGCTAGTGCTGAAAGGCAGAACTTGTCTGCCTTGATATCCACGGAAGCACCTGGAATGGAGAGAAGCAATGTGCATAGAGATTAGATTTCACCTTTCTTAGTATTTCCCCCTGAATCCTTTTGTTATTTTTTCCTTTTCCTTTCATCACCTCCATTACTGGAGACTAGAATTGATATGGCCAAAAAAATGAACTCTCTTCCCTAGCATATGTAATATAGACTTTTATAAGAGGAAGATTCTAGGAACTCCCTGTCTACTCTGAAATATTTCCCACAGGTCTCCAGAATAGGAACCCCTCACCTGCTTGTTTCAGCTTCCCTTAAACCTGAAATTTCCAGATTAGTGCAAAATTTGCAGAAAGTATGCAAGAAATCAACAAAACCCATTTTTAAATCATTTTTAAATTTATTTTCAGCATAACAGAATTCATTGTTTTTGTACCACACCCAGTGCTCCATACAATCCGTGCCATCTCTAATACCCACCACCTGGTTCCCCCAACCTCCCACCCCCCCCACCTCTTCAAACCCTTCAGATTGTTTTTCAGAGTTCATAGTCTCTCATGGTTCACCTCCCCTTCCAATTTCCCCCAACTCCCTTCTCCTAACTCCCCATGTCCTCCATGCTATTTGTTATGCTCCACAAATAAGTGAAACCATATGATAATTGACTCTCTCTGCTTGACTTATTTCACTCAGCATAATCTCTTCCAGTCCCATCCATGTTGCTACAAAAGTTGGGT